CTAGGCGACGCCGCTGGCGTGCTGACCGGGGGTGCTCAGCGGGCGCGGTCCCAGGCGCGGTCCCGGGCGTGCTGAGTGGCGGGCTGACCGGGCGCCCCTCGGCCCGCGCAGGTGCAGAGGAAGAAGGAGGAGCCGGCGCCCCCAGCCACCAGCCAGAGCATTCCAGCCTTCTACTTCCCCAGGGGCCGCCCCCAGCAGGCCGCCAGCGTGGACGCCGTCATCGCCAAGATCGAGAGCACGTTCGCCCAGTTCCCGCAGGAGAGGGCCACCATGGACGACATGGGCAGGGTGGCGAAGGTGGGTGCCACGCGTGCACACGGGCCTGCCCGTCCCTTCCCGCACGCTCACACGCCGCAGTGCCCACGGCTGCTGGTTGCACGTCCTGGAACCCGGCACGCGGTGAGGACGACGTGTCCGTGTGCCGCCCGCCCGCCTGCCCAGAGAAAAAACATGCAGGCGCAGCTTAGGAAGCCGTGAGGCCTGGCGTGTCTCCGCGGCCAGGAGGGTGTGGTCGGAGCCGGGAGGACGTGCGGGTCACTCTGCCGGCCGTGCCCCAGGGGCCTCCCCCAGCAGCCAGGTGCCATCAGTCTGCCTGTGTGCAGCGCGGGCGACCTTGGGCAGCAGGCATGTCTCGCACTGTCGTCCTGACGCCCGTTCTGGGGGTCCACACCCTCCGGGGCTCAGACCTTGCCAGCCTGTGCTGCTTCCCCGAGCCTCACCCTCGAGGCAGCGCTGCTGGGGCGGGCGGGGCATGTGTCCAGCCCCTCTTTTTATTTTTTTTAACATTCATTTATTTATTTAATTCCATTTGTTGTTATTATTAGTAGTAGTAGTATTTTAATTTAACCAAAGAGAGAGATGGAAAGTGAGAAAGCAAGCCACCAGGACCCGGACTTGAACCATGATCGGCCACGTAGGAATCCAGCACCCTTAGCCACCACGCCATCTGCTGGCCCCACTCTTGTTTTTAGATGTTTTTGGTTTTTTTTTTTTTTGCTATAGGATGTGTGCACTTGCCAGAGAGAGTTAGAAAGAGAAATCGCCCCCAGGGGGATGGCCACACCACAGTCCCTCCTCCATTCTCCTCTTCAGATTTTGGGCACACACGCACACACGCCCAGTGTGAGTTTCAACCTACTGGATCCGGGAATAGAACTGTGGTCATGCGTGGGGAGCCTAGCATGTTAACCACTCCACCACCTGGAGAAGGCATCCCCCGTGGGGTGTGATGTCACGATCCTTTCTCCATTTCTCCATCTTGGGCACACGGGGGCCTGGTGCATTTTTCAAGCCATGGAGCTGAGATTGGGACTGTGTCGGCCACGCGGCGGGCAGCTCCCTTAAGCACCAGGCCCAGAGGCTGGCCCCGTACGGATCACGTCTTGTCAGTCGCATCGCATGGCCTCTGGCTTACACGGTCGCCTGCCCGTGCTCACGGTGGGCAGCTGGGTGTGTGTCCTGGGCTTGCAGACCCCTGGGCGTGGTCCCCTCCCGAGTCGGGTGAGTCACGCTCTCCGGTCCGGGCAGCTGTGGAACTCTGCCCTCCATATCCCGACGTCCCTTCCCCCGGGTCTGGCAGTGCCCGGTGCCCAGCGCGGAAACAGTCCAGCCCTGTGTGGACACGCTTCACAGGAGCCGGTCTGGAGTCTGGGGTGTGTTCTCTACAGACATGACGGGCTCTGAGAGCCCCAGGTGTGCAGCGGGAGCCGCGGGCGCCCAGGCCACCGGCCACCCACCTCCACCTGCACAGCTGCCCGGGCCACCAACCGCCCCCCTGCCACGGGTGCCCAGGCACCGACCACCCTCTTTCCCGCTGCACAGGCCTGTGGCTGCCCGCTCTACTGGAAGGGGCCCTTATTCTACGGTGCCGGCGGGGAGCGCACTGGCTCGGTGTCTGTGCACAAGTTCGTGGCCATGTGGAGAAAGTGAGTCTTCTGGGCCAGGCAGAGGGAGGGCAGGGACATCTGTCCACCGTCCCCGTCTGTCCACCGTCCCCATCTGTCCACTGTCCTGAGCAGCCAGAGGAGCTGTCAGAAACACCCTGAGGCCCAGGCAGGGAGGGAGGGAGGCCGGCTGCAGGCGGCACGCGGTCCTCCATTTTCCGCCGTGTGTGGGAGGGGCCCCAGGGACACCCTGTGTGCGAGGACGGCTCGGAAGTCCTCCCTGTGGTCCCAGGATCCTGCAGAACTGTCACGACGATGCGGCCAAGTTCGTGCACCTGCTCATGAGCCCTGGCTGCAGCTACCTGGTGCAAGACGACTTCGTGCCCTTCCTGCAGGTGAGCCCACGCTCTGCCCTCCGCACAGGGCTGTCCACACCACAGCGACCCGCTACTCCCTCCTCACAGGGCGGGCAGTCCACACCACACCATCTGCCCTCCGCACAGGGCTGTCCACACCATCACACGGTCTGCCCTCCACACAGGGCGGGCTGTCCACGCCACACGGTCTGCCCTCCGCACAGGGCTGTCCACACCACACAGTCTGCCCTCCACACAGGGCTGTCTACACCACACAGTCTGCCCTCCGCACAGGGCTGCTTACACCACACGGTCTGCCCTCCACATGGGGCTGTCCACACCACACAGTCTACCCTCCACACAGGGCTGTCCTACACCACACGGTCTGCCCTCCGCACAGGGCTGTCCACACCACACGGTCTGACCTCCTCATGGGGATGTCCACACCACACGGTCTGCCCTCCTCACGGGGCTGTCCACATCACACAGTCTGCCCTCCGCACAGGGCTGTCTACACCACTCGATCTGCCCTCCTCACGGGGCTGTCCACACTACATGGTATACCCTCCACACAGGGCTGTCTACACCACACGGTCTGCCCTCCACACAGGGCTGTCCACACCACACGGTCTGACCTCCTCATGGGGATGTCCACACCACACGGTCTGCCCTCCTCACGGGGCTGTCCACACTACATGGTATACGCTCCACACAGGGCTGTCTACACCACTCGATCTGCCCTCCTCACGGGGCTGTCCACACTACATGGTATACCCTCCACACAGGGCTGTCTACACCACACGGTCTGCCCTCCACACAGGGCTGTCCACACCACACGGTCTGCCCTCCACATGGGGATGTCCACACCACACGGTCTGCCCTCCTCACGGGGCTGTCCACATCACACAGTCTGCCCTCCGCACAGGGCTGTCTACACCACTCGATCTGCCCTCCTCACGGGGCTGTCCACACTACATGGTATACGCTCCACACAGGGCTGTCTACACCACACGGTCTGCCCTCCACACAGGGCTGTCCACACCACACGGTCTGCCCTCCGCACAGGGCTGTCTACACCACACGGTCTACCCTCCACACAGGGCTGTCTACACCACGTGGTCTACCCTCCGCTCAGGGCTGTCTACACCACATCGTCTACCCTCCACATGGGGCTGTCCACACCACACGGTCTACCCTCCACACGGGGCTGTTCACACCACACGGTCTGCCCTCCACACGGGGCTGTCCACACCACACGGTCTACCCTCCACACGGGGCTGTCCACACCACACAGTCTGACCCTCCTCACAGGATGGACTGCCTACACCACACGGTCTGCCCTCCTCACAGGGCTGTCTGCACCACTCGTACCTGTTTCTCCCTCACAAGGCAGGTCTTGTCTGCACCACGCAGGTCTTCCCCTCTGGGTCCAGGACTCCAACCGCGGTTGAGCACATGGAAGTTCAGTGACATAACTTGACGTCATCTGCAGGTCCCTCTAATTCTTTTTTTAAAGAAGTGTTTATTTAATTTTATGTATTCATTCATTTATTTTAATTTGACCAGAGAGAGAGACAGAGAGAAAGTGAGAGCAAGCCACCGGGTCCGGCACTCGAACTGTGGTTGGCCATGTGGGAGTCCAGCACCTTAACCCCCTCAGCACGCGTTACTGTCCATCCCTCGAGTCATTATCACAAAGTCCCCGAACGACTCGAGTGGCTGCGTCTATGCTGTGGCCACCGCTCAGTGGTGTCCCCGGCCACGCTGGCCCCCAGCACACCTTGACACGGGTCTGGTGTCGGGGACCTTGTCAGGCCACAGTTCACCACGGCAGGGATCGCCCGACAGCTCATCCTTGGCGGAAACCGTGTCCTGGTTACTCGCACTGCGAGTTTCTGAGGTCGGCGTGGGGCGAGCGTTCGGGCGTGACCGTCCCATGCTGAGCTGAGGGCGTGCTGACTGCCGGTCTCCGTGTGCACAGGACGTGGTCAACACCCACCCCGGCCTGTCCTTCCTGAAGGAGGCGTCTGAGTTCCACTCCCGCTACATCACCACAGTGAGTGCTGGGAGCCAGGCCGTGCAGGACGGTGAGGGCCCGTGGGTGTGGGCACCAGGCCGTGCGGGACGGTGAGGGCCCGTGGGTGTGGGCACCAGGCCGTGCAGG